ATTGAAAGTATACGTCGTATTCAAATACAGTAAATTGGTAATGGATTCGCAGTATAGTCATACGGATATTAAAAATTAAAAAAAAAATCATCTCCCTCTACGCTTGATCTGCTCTAAAACGGATGCAAGACCCCATGTGAAGAATCACTGAAGATACCTTTATAGCGGTAGTTTATGTTATACTGTAAGCCTTAGCAAGAAAGGCGTACAGTAATAATTTATAACTATGGATCAAACAGAATTGATCATAAATCCCAAATACTGTCCTACAAGGATATACTAGCAAGGTTAGCACCCCATTTACTACAAGTATAAAGCATAGAAGACGGAATGATCATCCAGGATTCGTCATAAAAAAAGCATCAGCCGAAATGATCATCATACAGAATCAATATCAATCGATCGGGTAGAACTGGACAGACTTTATAGTACTGTAGTATTATAAAATGATTATCGAATAAATTATTGTTGGAAAAAATGGTTATTTCTGTCTACGGACTAGCGTAGCTATCTCCTACTGGGCAGTACGCTCATGTTCACGACATAATACAACACTAAAGCCATTTAAGTAGAGTCACAGAGGTATACCATTTCCTCGCAGGTGGCCGCGTAGGCGGTCGCCATGTACAAAAAGTGTGTTAGTCGTTGTCGTGATGGCTAGAACATCGCACTGAATAGTAAATCAAATCACATCTAGTCTACTGTATATTGAGTACGATGCACAACAACCTTATGTATTTGTCTACCATAGACAGGGTAGAGCCCGCTTGAACATGAAACGTTAATGAATTTTGTCTTATCATATCCATCGATCAATCTATCATTAAACTATTGTATATTAATTTTGTAGTTTGATGAAGAATAAAAATAAAAAAGTAAAAAAAAAAGAAATTGAATTGCAGCAACAGCAGCAGCTGGTGTATACTCGAAGAATTTGGTAACGAAAGTTGTATTTAATCAAGTTGTGTTGTTCTATATTAATGGGAAAGTCCATGAAGATGTAACTAGGGGCGTTATCGGATGTAATCGATCACGTCGTTTGACGAAATTGAATTGTAAATCCCATGGCAGTAGTAGCCTAAAATACTGTATTACACTGTATTATAGCACAGTTATCTATTGGCAAACATTTCGTAAATTGTTAGTGTATATCTATATATAACTATAAGTATGCGTTCTCGTCTGTATGAGGCAAATCGAACTTGTTAATTTCTTCTACGTTCTGTTGCTCATACTATATTGGATAGCCTAGATGCGAGTGATTCTACAACCTGTATTATACAGTGTTTTGTATGGGACAGTAATTTACGATAATCGCTACTTCCAAACTTTCTAATACCTGTAACAGTAAACAAGTAAGTTTCGTTTTGCTGCTTTCTACTATATATATATACACTATGAATCTAAATAGGGGATTGGCCATAACATCGATATCACATATGGTAATTTGCAATTAGAAATCGATCAAACATGATTGCAACATACGTACAATTATTACGCTACGTATTCACGGGGAATGAATTAATTAATTAATTGATTCTGCATAAGATCTGGTCCAGATCTATCCTGGCAATCAATGATTTCATCCTATCCTTACACATATATATCATTCTTACTTACTTAACAGATAATACGAAATCTCCAGGATTAGTTTGACTTGGTCGTATCAAATAGCTCCCCACTTGACCACGAGTACGTAATAGCTGTTCGGCTTCTGCTCCAGTTAATTTCGAATGTAAACAACTGCGAAGTAAATAGTAAAGAGAATTTTTTTTAAAATGGCTTGATAGCATTAATCATTGCATCTTAAAAGCAACCTAGTCCTGTTATCCATTCACACTCATCCGCAGAATAACATGTAACGCAAGAGCCATCTTAGCTTATCAGCTTTATTGAAGGAATGTTAACGTTAGTACCCGTACAATCAGAGTACCCGCTATAAAGTTGGCTCAGAATTACTGGTTCTTAATCTGTACAAATTGCAGTTACACCTGTTCACGGTTTATGTTGATGACCATTTGAATATATAGCTTTGAACGTGATAATCGATTGGCTACTGTATGTTTTTGTGATAGCATTTCTCAAAGTATGATGAAATTCTATTCACTATGGTATTCAGAAATTTGCACATGATACAGTTCAACGACCGTCGACAATGTATTACAGCAAGTCATGGACATAATAAAGAACATTTTAAATAAGTTTTCCAACGCAATAAGACTTGGGAAGACTGCTACGTATTCCATCTATGCATCGATCGAAGAGAGCACGTCTATGTAATTTATAATTTTCAACATGAAAGTGATTGAATGGGAAATGTTGCAATTGCCCCATGCTATCTGGATTGTTTTTTTCTTTCTGACTTTATACTGTATTTAAAGCAGGACTGCATTACTTACTGTCCAATCTGTACTCCTCGTGACCAGATGACATTGATGGTCAGCACTACAAATCCTCGATAGCTACTTATGAACGATGTTGTCGTTGTCGTCATCTATTGTCGTCATTTAAGGTTATCCCAGTTGTGAAGGGAGACTAAAGTTCAATCCATACTCTCTGATTAGCATTGATAAGGTAATGATTGGTTGAATGCTTTTATCAATATTTTGATCAATATCGGTATTGATCGCCTATTCTACCTCTATCCTACATGCTTGATCCTCCAACAGTACGTTAGAATAGAGTTGAAAGAATACCCGTCCTTGTTATTAACATTCGATGGGAGAAACATACAAGCTCTACTGTAAACACATGGAAATGAAGTTTTATCCATCACTGTTAACTAACAGTTTAGCAGAACATTCAATATCGACTCTGCAAAACAACATCCATCATACAGCCGATCCATATGGATACCAGCCAGTAACATGACAAAAGTCTTGGCTAAAATCATCCACTAACTTACCGATGTACACCCATATTGATTTGATGACGATCTGAAGCAGATGAAATTTCCAATTGTATTGTTACTATACGAGTGTCCTCGAATGAAATAGTCAACCCGTCAACGCGCCCCACGGGCAATAGCTTCAACTTTCACTCCAGTATTATACTGTACTATACGGTGCCCAGTGTGTCCAGTGGACACTATTTGACCACCATGGTGAACAGGTCATGACGAGTCATGCCAGTTGGTACCACTTCTTTCAGTCATTTGTACTGTACGTATGTCCGTCTGTACGATAGGGGAAATTTTCTTTTCTTTTTTTACCTCCATGACCATAATCCTCCCAGTTAGTACAGTGTACAGTAGTACAGTACAATGAGCGTACAGTGTACGGTACTGTATCCGGCATGAAACAATAGTACTGTATGATGTTCATTGCGCTTTTTACGGTACAGTACGGTACAGTACTGGATAACATAGGGCACAGTAGGATACTATACTGAACAAGGTTCAATGTGCACATTGACACGACGCCCAACGTACTGTACAGTGTACAGTACTGTATAGTACCACTGTACTGTACACTGTACACTGTACACCTCCAAAATGGCGAGAATGCTAGATTGAAGTACTGGATAACATAGGGCACAGTACTACTGTATACTGTACTATACAAGGCTCAATGTGCACATTGAGACGACGCCCGTCGTACTGTACTGTACACTGTACAGTACAGTACTGTATAGTACCACTGTACTGTACACTGTACACTGTACACCTCCAAAATGGCTAGAATGCTAGATTCAAGTACTGGATAACATAGGGCACAGTACTACTGTATAGTGCTGTAGACGTCGAGCGATTGGACGTCCAACGGACGTTCGATTTTGGACGTTCGGTATGTACGTTCGTTGTCAGATCGGACGTCGACGAACTGTACTGTACAGTGTACAGTGTACAGTACAGTGTATACAGTCAGTTTGTATAATCCCACCCCAATACTATACAGTACAGTACAGTACAGTAGTACAAACGTCTTTTACAACACTTTGTATTTCAGAGTCATGACTACAGTATACTGTACTACTGTACTGTATGTACAGTGTACAGTATAGTATAGTCTTATACCGTACTGTACAGTGTACACTATATACTGTAGTGTTAACACTGTACACTGTGTACGTTGGTACGTTCAATGAACGTCCGACGTTCAAATTGGACGTTCGTACGTTCGTTCATTAAAACTGGCGAACGTCCACAGTACTACTACTGTATACTGTACTATACTGTACACTGAGTGTACAGTACAAGGCTCAATGTGCACATTGACACGACGCCCGTCGTACTGTACAGTGTACACTACTGTATAGTACCATTGTACTGTACACTGTACACTGTACACCTACAAAATGGCGAGAATGCTAGATTGATGAATCATGATTACCGAGCTATCATTATTTATTTACTTACTAAATTGGGGAAAAATAATAATATACTATGGTCAAGTTTTATATCGACTTAATATTTAGATCATGTACTGTACAGCGTATGCTGTGAACGCGCGCTCGAATACTAATTGCGATATGCCAGCCTAGTTTTGCAACGTTGCTGCACAGACATCGCTGAAACAGAGAGCTTGAAGCCATTTGAACAAAAAGTACAATCGAATGCACAGTTGCTGTACCCTAGGTACCAGGGACTACCAAAAGGAAAGACAATACAGTTCCAAACCATGCCAAAATAGTCAGTACGAGTACCATAGCACAATCATAGACTGCCAAAGACATGACTAAAACCTGGGACTTTTACAAAAAATGAAAGACTAAAAAACATGGACGACTCCAAATTTCCACTAGTCCATGACTCTACTACATTATGCAAAATGCGCGCTACCATAGTGTCCAGTATCCAATACTGTCCCAGTACTGTAACACAGTATTGCAAGGTTTACGTGCGCGCGCAGCCACGACAGTAACCTAGCAGCAGCCAGCACGGAGGCCTGCGAAAGATCGCAAGATTGGCCTTTTTTTCATAGCTTGAATACAGTAGAATCAAGCAAATAGGCACGCTCTCGCCAGTACAAGCTGCATGCAATACTAGTTGATTGTGGACAAGAAATCCAAAGATAGAAAATATCGCCTACAGTCACAGGAGATTTTAGAATCACTAGATCGTTATTCAACGACGCTACGTCAAAGCAGGAAGTAGATTGATTAGTTTTCGTTAGCCGCAGATTGGACATTACGATCAATTTGGCCAACAAACGGTTATTGGGTGTCAGAGCAAAAGCAAACTCCAGCTATGGCCAAATCAACTGGTACTGCATCACGCGAAATAATGTCTGGTTTTAAACTGTATCCAATATCGTTTTCACTTGTAGTCTAGTTTTAGGATAATGACAACAATTGATAGGGCATAAACGAGTGATTCTGACCCACTTTTACGCCATCTATTGAAAGCACGGTCTTACCGCGTTTATCACTACAGAAGGACGAAAGCTATTGAACCTGTTAATAGAGTTCTAGTCTAGATCAAGTCCTATCTGAATCAGCTACAAAGTGACAGTGGAAATAGTAGTAAAAATTACATTGGCTAAACTATTCACGTGTAATGAGCCGGTAATAGAAGATTTATAGTGACCTAATTACAAGTAATATCATTTTGACGCGATAATTTAAAAAATACCATTATCAATTGAATGCCCCTTTTAGAACATAAAAAATGCTGACTTGAAACCCGGATAGTATCGTTAACTGTCCCAATCTTTTGTTAGCTGTGTATTGATAGCTATTTTTCTTTTAAAGTTTCTCTTTAATATCGTAAGTAGATTATTTTACGTAAGTATTGACATAAAAAAAAACAAAAAAAATTGCTCCACATTGACCCGTTACAACTCGACTATAATTAAGTTATAAATTATCACTACTGGAGTATACAATCGCTCCTATGCGTACATGAAGGAGATAGTATACTTACAGTTATATTTTAACGAATACGATATACTACGAAGTTATTGCTTTAATATTGCTGATGATTACTTCATTGAACGTGTTGAAAGGTGCTTAAATTATTATGCAGATCCATATATTCCAGCATTATAATTCCTGTTATATATATATAGTATTACTTTTATTATTATCAATATTTCGATTGATAAATCCTCTCAGTAAAAGAATTGTTTTACATTCAAATTTGGACACCCGTACTCATTAATAATTAGTTTGTTGTAACTCTGATATCAATAAATACCGTAAAAGTAGTTATCACTCGCTTTGAGAATGGAAATCTAAGCTAAATGATCACTTTATTAAGGTAACAGCAGCGATAGAATAAATTATCTAATCGTTTTTAATTCATTCGTTGAAAATAGTTTAAGTTAGATACTAGATAACTATATTGTATCACAATATCTTAAAATTTTAACATTTTTTTATAATCATTAACGATAAATACTAGTGCAATGAAAAATAATATCCAGCTATTGATAAGTAGCTACTCTACTTCTTATCTAGAAACCGGTTCATTCTTAATACTATTTTAAAACATCCATTGATTTAAGTCTACTTCTTTATGTTTCGCTGATTTTCCTGACAGTTTCTACTTACTATGTACTACTTACTGAATCAGTCATCCTATATTAAGAACGTTACCAACTACCAGAAGAATTATACGATTACACATTCAATTTCTCAAAACTTCATCATGAACACAAAGCATTTTATGCCTTAAATTTACACTCCAAGCAAATTCTCTAAAATTCACCGTTAACCACTACATAATTCCTTTTGTTACACTTTCTAAGGCATTAATTTTACTTTCAATACATCGAATGGAATAGTAGAGATCGAGCAATCAAAGCGTTGTATAATATACTACGCAGTCAAGACTTGCCTAACTAACCTCCATAACTTTCAGCACATGCAAAATTACTATCTATATGCATTTAACTTAACGCAAAAATTTCATAAAATTCAGTAATTGGATGAACTTACGAGACGCTGATAGTGGTAAAGTACTTTGGCAAGGAACCGAAGATTTGTAAGTAGAGTGCTAGTGTAAATTACATTCGCTTTTCTTCAAATTAAAACCAATGATATCTAACAATAATTTACAATCATTTCTCCTATATTTTAATTTAACTTTACAGCTTCATAAACTTGCAGCTGCGTATTAATGATTTAAATTTTTTACTAGATCTTTACCTGGTGTCGAACACGAAGGTCTGAATAAGAAAATTTTTTTTATCATCAAGAGTCTTTGCTGTCATAATCCAGATCGTTAATTATACACCGTATTTTGACAGTGACTGAGTGTTACTACTTGCTTGAATTGATTATAGAAAAATTTCCTTATTTTATTCGTTGCTTGTATAATTAATATTTAACATATTTTGCTACTAGCTCGCGTACCTAAAAAAATTCTGCGTTGCCGAGCTGTATCGAGAGAAATTAACTTCTCTTCAGAAGAGCAAATGAATAGATTTCGTTTAGAACAACGCGTTCTATTCAAAGATAAATGTCTAGAAGGTAATTCTAACGACTACTATAACATACATAACATAGTTACGATCGCTTAGCGTAGTGAAGGATTATGCTCTGCTCAACTTTCTTTCGCATTACTTATAATTTCTGAATAATTTATACACATTTACCGTAGACCGCTGACAAATTTAGTCTCATATCATTATTAAGTATCACAAATATGTAAATTTCATGCTAATTTCAACAACGTACAAGGCCATAACTACATTTCAGACTCAGATAACGAACTAATAATTAACAGAATTTGATACTCCCGATTAGTAATAAATTATGGTAATCCCTTTATCTTGTCTTCTCGTTCAAGAATGGTTCTTTGAATTCGGCTTTGTTATTCCGCAGTCGACTAACACCTGGCAATCATTAATAGAAGCTGCTCCTGAATCTGAAATGTTACCTGCTAGTGTTTTAAAGTAAGTTTAGCTTTTCATGTCCAATGTGATTATTGTTCAGTGTATCAGTGTTGAAAATATAATACTAGTAAATTATCCATAAAATGGCAATAAGTAAGCCTTCAGTGTTGCTTTAAAATTTGCTATTTGAAACCCTAATTTATTGAACATCGTCTCTCTTTTATATTTTCAGCGGTAATGTCGTGATTGAAACGAAGTTTTTCGATGATGCTATGCTAGTTAGCACATCAAGGGTTCGCATTTATTATGTGTAATAGAGATCTATTGATATACTTTAGGAGGAGTGTTAAGATTAGTTCGCTGGAAAACATTCTAGGAATAGTAAGCCCTGCTAATTTAGACCAATTTACTATTTTATTAACCTTTAGATAGAGTAAATAATCTGGTTACAAATATTATGATGTAAATTATCTTGATCAATTGCAGGTTTTGTTGATAATCATTATTCTTAGATGCACTAATTTTTTTGTAAGATTATTTAGTTTATGCGTTATTGAGATACTGTGATTACTTGTAACTTTATATTTCTAATGTATATAATTTAATAATTTTACTATTCATGACGTAGTTTAGCATATTTGCTATTATGATAGCCATATTTCCTTCGTAAAGTTGTGAAGTTTGTGTCGCTGGCTATTGATACCAGCTTATGTCCATTTGCGTTACTTCCATAAATTCAATATGAAATATCACCAATTGCGGTCTTTTCAAGATTATGACTAGGAAAGATCGAAAATTACGATCATGTGTTGATTATTACATATCATAACTGTCCCGTAAGTCAAAATTTGACGTCATAGAAAATAAATTAGCTATCAATATCGAGCATTAAAATTTAATTTATACATAGAGGGAGCCAACTATCTTATGATATAGATACAATTGTATTTTAAGTAAGGTCACTCAGTATTTATGTCAGTTTATTACACTAGGGTCTCATTATTACGATTTCGTCGAATAATAGTAATATTGTAGTAAAGTTCATAGTAACTGCACCGGTGAGAAATCATAATACTGACACAATTACAAATTTTATCCAATTTCAATTACTAAATGATAAGGCAATACACGTTAATCTACTAACAACATTATATACGCAGAAGGCATTTGCTAATAGAAGGATTATATTTTTACATTACGAATAGCAAAAATGAGCAGAATAACATAAGCGTTTTAAGAAAATGCAATACGACATCATCGTAAATGTTTAGTCTTAGTTTATAAAGATAATAAATGGGACTAAATCTATTAGATTAAACGAAATTATATACTATCCTAACCAAAAGATTGTGCATATACTTTAGATCGTACGATCAACATATACAGTAAATTAAATTCTTATCCTTCATAGTAGCTTTATTACTTGCTATTAAAATAGTTAATACCGTTTTCAAATATTACAATGACAAATCTTAATTATAATTTAATTAATTAGTCGTTATCCGAACGATACATATTATTTTTTATTTTTAATTGCTCTTCTTACTTGCTGGACGAATTTTCTCTCTAGCTGTTTCCTAATAGTTTAACCGTATCGAATAAGAAGTCATGTATTAAATCACATCATGCAATATTTGTATAGACATTATCATAAAAGCAGCAATGTTGGCCACAAATTGGACAGAACAATTACAAGGTAGTAGCCTCGGTCATTGATATTTCCCTATCCATCGCGAGCTTATAATTAATTATACAATAATTACGGTACAGTGATCGTTACTGTAACGTTCATTCTTACCCTTTCCCTTAATACATGGCGAATCCTCGCCATTGATTTATTCACCTTTATAAGCGTAAAGAAGCAATGTAGCTAAGTTTAGTATTTCTAGAACATCTTCATCGTAACTCTCCAAATCTTACTAATATCTGTTCTACCTTTATCAATCTTTCTGGACCAGGCATAGGCACTCGTTGTCTTCGAGCTTCATGTTGTAATGTTAACAACATATTTTTCTCTTTCAATAAGACATACCTGCAAGCATCATATCAAAGCAGCGCTTAGTGCTATCAGCTTAAAGGTAACATTCGGCTGCAGTAATTTGTAAGGCAATATAATACTACAACTTCAGCCTTGGATGAGATAGTACAAGATCCCTTTTTATAAATCCTAATTGAACGAATAGCTTCTAGAAAACATAATATTGCTTACCATAGTTTAAGCAAATCCTCAAAGCTTTTGACGCGTAATTCACTCGCCCTCCAACTACGCCCTGAGAAATCAAATATACTATCATTAGATCGCAACTACCTACTATACCGTATACTCGTGTGCCATGGGATATTTAATTACTTAATTATATATTATCAGCATATCCATGTATTGTACGACTAAAATGCTAAATATAGCAAATTTCATGTAATGTATACTATTGTACATAAGGTCCAACACCTGTACGTGTATCAGCCATTTGAAAATTACACATTATGCTAGTAGCACGCATCACTAGAAAAGTATTATCAATGCGAACTGTATCTTGGTGATAATTCTCAATTTAAGCTGAGCATGTATCTTTTTTATATTAGTGATGCGATATGCAGACTGCCAAATCTGGATCATGCACACATGCAATGCTAATTATAATAATTGCTCAATACCATATCCAAGCACACCATAATACGAATACACGCATATTAGTACTGACTGTACTTCGGTACTAGCATCATTGGCAATCTAACTGCTACACATGCACGGTCGACGAGTATACCCGTGCGCGTATATTGCATGCACCTTGTAAAGCCATATATAACAAGAGTATCATTATGCTAGTAGAAAGAATAACCTATAATTAGCTTTCCATCTTCATCCGGTAAATCGCCTTTTTGTGGTAAAAATTCTTTCAAACCTTGGCAACTCAAGCTACAACTAATCGACCTTTGCTGAACTGCAACTATACCAGGGCACGATCGATTTCTTGCAAAAGGAACAAGCTGATTGACGGTATTTAACGCAATGCTAGCCAGTATAAATAAGGCATAGTTAATGTCAGGGTAACATACGTACCCGAAGGTAAATCCTTACTTGAATTAAAACGCATTCATCTTCTGAAACTTACCTGCGAATTCGTCTCAGCAACGTGGACATATTGCCATTCGTGTTGCAGTTTCCAAGTTGGAACACAAGCACGTTGCAAGTCTACAGTACAGTACAGTACAGTACACTAATAAATCTACCGTACCGTAACATGCACACTTGTACTGTACGGTACAGTACAATATACTGTACAGTACTGTACCCTACTGTACTAACACTCTGCGCTACAGTCCTTGTACTGTACTGCATACAGTAAATAAATGTACTGTACAATACACCGTACAGTATAGTACAGTATCACGGGTATTTGGGCATGGACTACTGACTGCATCAGTAGAAGAAGACCATAATTGAGTGCAGAGCCTAGTGAACGGTGTACGGTATACTCGAATTTATTCAGTCATATTAATCAACAATTTAATTCAATAAAGTATACTGTATATATATACCCATAATTCAGTATACAATAAACTTGACATCTTAGAACGCTTTAAACAGTCCTGGAGAGGGTATGAAAGGGAACTAAAATTTTGAAGTGAATAGCTAATACGAGATTAAAAGAAACTTCGATTTAGCTGGATTGTATTCAATATTAGACTATCACTATATACGTACATAGTACAGAATGTGCTAATTCACAACAGCTAATAGAGAACAAGACAATGATGTAGCCTAAGGATCTCTACTGTAGCTATTTCATTTAGACTCAATGTACTTATGAGATTAATGGAGATACTATAATGTACTATGGATAATTTACAACCCAGCTAAAATCGAAGTTTCTCTTAAGCAATAAATTATTTACAACGCAGTTTGTTCAATTAGGTACGCGAAATAAATGCAAATGCTCCCTGCGAAGTAAATTGTACTATTGATCATAATAGCTCAGACTCCAAGATCAACCTAAAAATAGTACAATTTTATTTGTAATTGTAGACAGTATCATTATTATAAAAAAAATCCATAATAATACAACTATACGCAAGTAATTTATTTATTTTAACTGATATTAAGAAAACAGCAATCTTAGAATCATTTTTGCACACTGAAATTAATGATATTTCTGTACAAGTTGCTGTAAACACTACAGCTACCCTTCATCAACCCTAAAATTTGGTTGGTAGCTCTCCCTGTTATACAATTCCATGAGTTACCAATAAATCCTTAATATAAGGAGCCGAAAGGACAAGTAGAATATTACTTATTAAAGGGTATAATGCCGTCAACTTCAGATACTCTTAAAAATAATGACTCCATGAAGTCAAAGATCCTAAATCCTTATCCAAAGTAATCTTCCCGTTGTGTAAGGGGTATTTTCTGTAATTTTTTACATTAAGATAACGTAAAATTCATTATGTAAATTAGTACAAAAACAATCGGGCTACATCCAAGGTAAAATGCTTCAGATTGAATAATAAAATATCCAGGTGTCTATGATTATTACAATGTTATACATTTGCAATACATAACGATAACAACCAACAGTTTAGGCCTTAGTATTCAATTTCACTATACAAATTCTGCATCATCATAGTCAAACTCTTCATCAAGACTTGCACTTTGTCCAGATTTGAGGGATGGATAATCTGCCTGAGACTTTGTCGCATTGGCTTTTTCATTTATAGCTAATTCGCTATCGATGAATGAGCTGAGCTGTCGAAACTCCTTAAAAGAGTATCCAAATATTGCTTCTGTTTTACGCTTGATGCAAGACAGTAAACAATGATTTAGAAACACTGCATTTTTTAAGATAAACGGTTTTTCATTAGCAAATTGTTTTGATGCCAGTGTCGCTTTCATATTCCTAATTTGACACTTAAAGATATCGCAGATGCATTCCACTATGACTGCGTTAATCTAGTGCAAAGTAACAAACGAAAAAAGTCGTCATATTCATGTCTACAATACTTGATCACACTAACTCTTACACATTTGTGTTACCTCGCAAACATCAAATTGAAAGCACCCCTCCAAGAAAGTCATAATCCTCTTAACAAAAGCTATCACGGACTCACTTAAGAGAATTACACAACCATCTTTATTCAAAATAATAATTACCAAAGAGACAATGTCATTCATATGTCAAATTCCGTAATTTTGTGAGATATCTTTGATATAACGTAAACTTACTGTATATATAGTTTTGAAAGGATTCTATTCCGTAATTATTCATTTCATGAACTAAAACTTGAGCTGTCTCTTCCTTTCGTAGATTTACGGACCTCCATTGCTCATCCTATGAAAAGTTGTTAGTACTTATTTAACAAGAATTTTAATCTAATGATTTTAATTAATTAATGCATCATTGATGCAAATTTTAACCATACTTTTAGTGCATGATAATTTTCTTCTCATTAAGATAATACTTACTATAGCCCTGTGTTTACATGCATCTATCAGCTGGTCTCTAGCATCAAAAATCGTCTCAAGAATATTCTTTAATAAAACTCGGTGCAAAATGAATTTTAAATCGAATCCTACCGATTTTAGCTATAAAAAAGGGTTATAAGTATAGTCCATTATGTTACCATGTTATTGTATACTTCTTAACTAATATTTATATCTCTATATATTCTCAAGTACGATATTTCTGTACTATATCAAACTACAAATTCAAATTACCTCATCACAATAGTTGCACGCAACTCTCACACATTCTGATACCACAGAGATATTTAGATTGTTTCGAAATACTTGACGAGAAAAACTGCTGACGAAAGCTTTCATCTCACCTCTGGCCCAAATAACAAAAGCTAACATAATTCATAAAAATAAACAATTATCTTACACATCACTTTACCCGCAATCAAATATCATTTATGGCTAGAGGAGACGCCAGCGCCAACAACACAATTATCCCTTAATCTTACAAGAAAAGCATTCAGGCTTGTCTTCAAACGATGTACGGAACTCTTTTGCAGCTCGTATCATCTCGTTAAAAAATGCTCGTGAAAGCTTCGTTATGTATAAAGTTATAGCGCCTTCAATTTTTAATTGCCTATTCATGAAATGCATAACATGAACAAGAGAAATCAATACACTAATTCCATTTTATGTTTAAAAAATCATGATTTTAATTTACCGCAATTTGTATCTAGTTGCAAAACTTCGATTCTTCATAAATAGTTGACATGCCTAATAGATCAATTAATTATCAAAGGAATATTAGTATTAACTATATAATTAATAATGGACTGCTTCTAGAATATAAGATTATACCAAAGATGTTCGTTCAAGTCTCTTTAGAATATCAACAGCCTTTCTGACAGAACTAGTGCCACCGGGAAGAGAAGAACCGTAAAAACTGGTAAGTTCCTGGGCCAGATTTGAAGACAACTCTAAAGTTATTTCGTCCAAGCGTTTTCTAATTTCAATTATATAATGCAATACCTTTTACGATACAGATAAACCAGTACACTCAAACAGTAAATGCATACACTTACTTGTATTCTTTATCTTCGGTCCCTCCACGGTGGGCAATAATGTCATGAACTATTAAGATTCAAAATACGACTTTAACAAGCGTTATAACTATAAAATTTGGTGCAATATACAGTCTAGAATTATTTTAGAGAAAAAATTAGTTTTTAATGTTAGCCAATACTTTTAATGACGAATGTAGCAGCTCCTTCAAAGTCTCTTTGGGCTACACAAATATCTAAATCTTCGAACAACTGCGTCACTTCTTCTGCCGATGTAGGATCCTAGTAATACAATCAATGCAGTTTTTGTTATCTGTAAATGCTATCGTATTAGTATACATTCTGAATTTAGTAGCAATACATTACATACACTTGCATGTGATTGCTGATTAAAGTCGACATTAATGTTGATTTCTAGATGAATATAATCAGAAAATCATCTTAATTCTTGTACGTAAAAGAAACTTTCGATCCATTTATTAAGATTCTAAATTTTATAAAAATTTTGATACATCTAACATAGTAACAGTTTAAATATCGATGAAATGGTACCTGTTGAACTAATAGGATCATCTTTCGCCTGTAACATGTTACGAGAATCTGCGCTCTCCATTGCTTCCCTTATAGTTTTTAACCACATACTCTAAATTTGAGTAAATATAGAAAAACATATTTCTTCATCGATTTTTATCTTTTTAGTCAGCTACCGTTAACAGACACTGGTATAGATGATATATGAAAGCTATACTGTCTGAACCTTAGCTTCACTACTACCAGTTTGGTAGAAAGCTTCACTAGGTAAGAATTTGAAGGCATTCTTCACGCCTAAATATCAATTTTATCAATTAACTTTGAACCTTCATTAATTGGCAATTTGAACTATGATAATTTCTATCACATGTTTCAGCTAAAAATACCTGAGTCCGAAAGAACATCAACGACAGCAAACGAACCAAACAAGTATTCAGCCTCTAGCTTATATTTGAGATTATTTTTTCTTTCGCTATATATACCCACATATATATGATAGATTATGACTATGAATTCAAGTAAATTTCTGCGTTTTAATTTATTTGTTACCGTTGCGGTAATGGAGTTGTAACTAGGATCCGATCACTTAAAAGAAACATGAAGACGTTCCTTAAAGCTTGTTTTGTATCAGGATTTATCTCTAGTAAATTTCCTTGTGTGACGATATGCGTGTCTGAAGTAACCTCTGCATCCTAGCATGAAAGTTACGGGGATAATTAAAAGTTTAATCCTTTTATTCAAAACAATATACCATCAATAATGCCTGATGAGTCTTTTATGATATTTCCATTCTTACGCGATATCTGAAGATATTGACTAACACGTTTAAAGGTTTACGAAAATTTTTCTACAACTACAGTTAAAATATAAGAAGCATAGTAAATTCACCTTATATCCTTCAATGCTGTCTAGCAATTGCTGTAACTGTTCATCCTTGACAAATTTATCCTTTTCTTTAATAGATGATTTAGAAGCTGCAAATTAAAATTTTCACATTAAAATAATTTATATTTAAGATTTCATAGTATCTGAAGACACCACGGTACAGTTATGCAATAGTAAAATTGGCTATCATACCACCACTATTTAGAACTGATAATTCTGACAAGCTGGATATCATTGCTTTTTCTTCACTTAAGAGATGACTTAACTGATACATCTCAGTTTCAAGATCTGGCGCGCTTTAATTAAGTTTACTAACCGTTCATTTCGTGCCAAATTCAATCACAAATGGAAACAATAAAGCAAAACTCATCTATACGAGTATATCATTTATTAATTAATTATTATACTGTACTTTAGTGACTCTTTGATAATTATAATTATGGTACTATATAGATATTCTGGTAACGAGCTATAAAATCTTGGGACAGTTACTACTTAGTTAACCTGACTTGTATATGCAACAGGTAACACTAGTAATTTTCCTATCATGTATAACTGCTACATAATATGCAGTAGTAACGAAGTATATGTAGAGGACAATCTGTACAAATAATATCACTAATGGCGTATATTGACCATCTATGAAAATGCGCAAGATACTGCATCTATCTTCGCTATACGGTAGATTTGTTGGTTATTTGCTAGTGAATATTAAATCTGTATCTCACAAGGAGATACCTGGATACATGATAAATAGTATCAAAGATGATAACCATTCATCAGCTAATGACATTGTAAGTCAGTGCATGCCTTTACATAGCAATTGAATACAGTTTTTACAGTTTGCGGATACAAGAAATCTCCTTGGAGGTATCAATGAATTGCTTGTAATTCTTGTAAACATTCCTCTTTAATGCTACAGAAGTTTCTTCACTTATGGCATGTATGCATTTTCTCACCCTGAGTAAATCTTGAAGGCCATCTAAATTACCTGATAAATCTTCAGCATCTTTACAATTATTTAAGAAAGAAAAAGATGGCATTAATTTGGAATACTGTTCTATGAAAGAGAAGACAATCAAAAAAAGTGAAGGAATTGATAGAATTATTAATGACTGTCATTTAAAAGACATACCTATCGTATATCATTGAAATTGAAATCATTAATAATTGTATCAATTTTGCTGAAAAGAAAATATCTTTGTAGCTATACAGCACAGTAGTGTCTGTTCTGCATGAACGAGTAGACTGCTTGGGCAATACTATCTATCAATATTCTATGCTGCAATTTTGCATTGGCGCTTTAAAGGTACAGTATTGTATTTTCATATACTCCATGAATAGAATATTTCTACAGTGTGTGTCACAACTCATCAGCTGATTTACAGATACTGTACAGTGGAGTTTACTCAAGAAATGTAAAATAATCTACTTGCATGTAAAAATGGAATTGTCAACGCTTAACCGACATGAACCATTCCAACACTCAATAAGCGACTACGGTAAATCTAGCTACTATGGCCATCCACACTAGCCTAATCGCTTTACATCACACAAGTATAGGACACGCTAAAACATTGCTATGATTCCTTACACTCTTCGGCATCGAAATTTTCAGCGTTGAGTATATCTCTTAAATTTCTGAATCCAATATCCATTTTCACTTTGTAATCATTATTTGGAGGGGCCGACTGACTGTCAATAACTGCAAACTGCCTTTCTCGCTCAACACCACTGCAAGCGCAGGCTCTGCCCACAACGGACCAACCGACCGACCGACCGACCACGATCTGCCGTAGGCAGTTGACTCGCATATCGTCAGCGAGCCCTACACCAATTGCGATACTGTATCATGGACCGGCCACTGGTGTTACAGTAAAGGTACATTCATACGACGGACAGTTGATTTTAGACATAGTCAGACGATGGCGTAAATTCCAGTACCGTCCTAGTAGTGACACGATTTTTGCTAGCGATTACGTTGAGGCTAGTGGCGACACTGCTGTACACCACAAACCATTGGGCAATAGCCATTCTCCTCAGGTAAAGACATTAAGACCACGAAATACCGAGTCTACAGTATAGGAAAGCGTAAAAATGAGAGCAAAAACGATGTCATTACGGATGCATTGATATTACCGTCCACTCTACAGTGCACGGTGTACTGTACAGTATACAGTATTGTACTGTACTGTACTGTACTGTACTGTACTGTTCTGTACTGTAGTACTGTAGTCTGTGACTCTGTGGTGTACTGTACAGTGTACAGTACAGTACAGCGTACAGTACAGTATAGTACCGTAGTCTGTAGTCTGTAGGAAGTGAGTATAGGAAAGCGTACTGTACATATGAGAACCAAAATGATGTCAGTGCACAGTATACAGTACAGTACAGTGTACAGTGTGTGTACTGTACACTGTAGTGTACTGTAGTCTGTAGTACTGTACTGTAGTGTACAATATAGTACTGTACAGTAGTCTGTAATGTGCATTGTACAGTACAGTACTCCGTAGTCAGTGTGTACTCGTACAAATGAGAACAGAAATGATGTATAGTGATTCTGACAACGGATTCTTGTAATTTAACTTATTCTCTTTCGTTTCATATAAAATCTATTGACGAAATCAAAAATATTGTTTACATTTACCTTCACAAAAATCATAGAAATTAGCCCGTCCACCCTGAGAGTGATTATTTTCGATGGCACCCCGAAAACATATAATTGTATAGGCTAAATCAGACCCAAACTAGATAAATTCTATATCTGGTTGTAGCCTAATAGCTCAGGAATGCCAACTTGGTTCTTATTTAAGTAAAAATAACGGTCCGCCATTAAAACGATTTTTTTTGCCATCTATTGACATAGTACGTTCATGTTATCATGATAATCTATCTTGGGAGATATGCTTTTATGGGTATATATAAATACTATACAGGAATTTCAACGGAATACAACTTTAATTTTTTAACGAAGAGGAGACATCGAAAATAATCATATTGTACAGTACTGTACAGTCTGTGGTGTACTGTACTGTACAGTAGAGTGTCGTGTACTGTACTGTAGCCTGTAGTCCTCTAGCATACTGTACTGTACTGTACACTGTACAATACGTACAGGACTGTAGTCTGCAGTGTACTGTACATTGTACTCTGTCATCAGTGTGTACTGTACTGTACTGTACTGTACTCGTACCCTACAGTACGTACACTGTACAGTATTGTACTGTAGTCTTCCAAGGTTAAGAAAATTAAGAAAAAAATACCTGTACGGTATGATAGTGTACAATGGACATACCGGAATAGCAGCAACTCCTCCTACCACGCAACACTGCTCTTAGCATACCCCACTGGCAGTGGTAATAACTACAGCCATCGAAAACATTCTCTAGAATCCAATACTTTGCTACTCCATTTTGCTAATATGGCTCGACTAGACACGAAAATCTTCGAAATCCGTGATGATTCACCTGATTCACAACAACTTACTCTGAACGATGAAGCGGCTAGACTAATGGTCAATCCTAATAAAGTAAGAAAACGGCATGACCCAATGGATCTCGTCGTTTTGGCTCGTGAAGTTCAAAGGGGCGATGACATGGTCAATGCGGGAGCCTCACATAAATTAATGCTTATCGCCGATCAAATACGACATTTGCAAATGCAAGCCAGAGAGGTAATATCATTTCTACTCTTTCCTAAAGTCAAATTAAAGAAAATACTTTTCCAATAGTACTTGGGTCCATATTATATCACATTATCAGTAGCTAGGAACAACCTGATACACTTGTACTACAATTCAACGTCGATCTTCAAATCCTTCATTTACTCATTTTATCCTATACTGTACAGTACTGTTCAAAAAGTAAATGTTGGCATCGAGGGGGTAAAAAGGTGTAATTACTATATTTCTACACAGTCTTATATATATATATATACTTACGATGATACTGAACTGCATTGCGAAATCAACACTCAGGTAGCAAGAGTCAAGATTTACAAGTTTTACCCTTCGCAATTTTGAACTACATATAAGAATATCTAGAAATAATTGTTTACCCCTCCATGCAGGCATTTGCCTCCATAAATTGGATATAATTACTCGTAAGTAGTTTCGAATTGGCAGCCTGATGGTTGAATCCGAGATTTCAAAGTATATTATACCAGTAAACTCTGAACCAGGATTTTCTAAATATGATTGAGTACTGAAATTGGGCAGCTATGCCAGTATAATTGATTTTTAAACGAATAGTATGAACAAGATTCATGTTTGATACCGATTAATTATCGCTGGTTCCAATCCTAAGCTATCCATGGAATTGGGTAAAGTACAAGTTCAAAAATCAGTGTATATACACTAGTGTTTTAAGTCGGAAAGCTCTACTGATTGTACTGCATGCATATGTTGTTTAAGGTTTGCATTAGTACGTATCAATTATCATGTGACAAGGTAATAATAACCCAAAGTTTTAGTTGCAAAGTACGATTATGTTTGATAAAAACTGATCAATATATCAAATCCGTAATAATAGAAAGAAAAAAAATTGCACTTTTTGATAGAGGAGTGATAAATGTGTACTTAAACTTTAATAACTCTAGCCTACGTTACTACCTTGTATGAGAAACTAAAGCTCAAAGTTTTAAAAACTACGCTGTCACTGCTTCCATCGGCATGGAGGTATAACAGTCACTATGATACAGCGTAAATGTAAAACCTTTTACTATGACGCATTCAGGGACATAGTATCTATCTTACGGAAGCTACGCGCATAAGCTGCTCTGATAAAAGTCGACTCGCAAAATTCTACCAAATGCAATAATGCATACTAAAATTTACTACAGTTAATGCAGGATGTAACAGTAATGTTTATCTTCGAAATGTTCGAGTCTTTCGATCTAACATGCTTATTACGTATACTCTTTATGTCTAGATCGACTTTAGTGTATTTTCAAATTATGTTATTATGCATTAAAATTTATTGAAACATTTAAAGGAAATTCTGCATATTCTAACTAGACTAACATGTTCTCCTTAATAAAGGTTTTAAAAGTCGCAAAACGGGATAAACAGCTGCACTACGCTCAATGCAACTTTGTAAAGCGCCCTGGTAAAATCTATTACCTTTATGAAAAACCCGATGGAACTACCTATTTTTCTATGTTATCGCCTGAGGTACACACTCAATATTTCTTACCTTAATGTTTGACCATTATCCCATATTTAATGCTCTATCTCCATTTACAGCTTATGCGTTCTTTGTTTACTACAGTATTACATGATAAATGACTCATTCGGGATACTGTGTTACAATACTAATCAATTAATTTACATTTATACATACAACAGGAATGGGGAACAGGTTGTCCGCATGAATTTATCGAGTCCTATCGTCTAGAGCACGATTTAACTTGGACTGTATCCCATGAATTTGAGAAGAGAGCTGCACAGTATGCTGCTATTGATCACATTATCACAGGCAAACGTGAGATACCGCTACTTGACTGGGTTGATTCTGTATCCGGAGACAAAAATACTATCACAGATGCCGAATAATAACTGATATTTTTCTACGGAATAGTTTGCTGTTTAAAATCGGTTATCAATTAGTGTGACCATAATTTGCACAATGGCATCATTTGATATCTTGGTAAATAAACAGCAAGCTTGCTATAGTAACAGCTATGAAGGAATACGATTTACTAACATAGGCATAATTGCTATATAAAATCACCTTTTAGTATAACTTTTAAAAATTAGATCTACAACGTTTGGTTAGCATGAACCGCATCAAAATAACTTATTCAATTATTATTCGTAGAATTGGTTAAAGCTTTCGCACATGTAATTTAAAAAATGTAGCCATTATTATCAGTAATTGCATATTACTGTACTTGCATTCGTTATTAAACGATAAACTCGCGATAACTGCGAATACATACTGCAGCTTTAACTTCTATGTAATCCGTATAACCTCTCTAAAATAGTCATTAGCATGGCTGGAAAGGCGCTACACGAAGAAGTGTGTGTTAGATAATTGAAGTTGTATCGACGATCTATATTAATAAATTGTTAGCGTTATTTCATTCCTGTGTGTACGTGTATGTGTATGCCATGTTAAGAAAATATTGCATTGCACTAATCCTTGGAATAATAGTCTAATGAAAGACTCTTCTTGACTCTAACACTTCCGTAATCATGGAGAATTGGCAATGTAAATATGAACTTTTAGCTCATGAATGCACTCAATCGCCAGTGAGAGTGTTCTTAAAAATCCATTTTAGAATTTAGTAAACAATTTATTAGTAATCAAATTTCAATAACAAGTTTATCAAAATACATCAAACAATTCCCAACATATTACGTAACTTCATTATTCTAGTTAAATAAAAGATTCTTTAAATTGCTTTGGTACACTCGTATGAATTATATAATAGAAAGATATTTCTGCTGATATCGGTATGTAACCGCGATAATACATTACGCACATTATGAAGGAAGTAAAATTAAATCCAAATCTTTACAATATGTAACATATATAAATAATCATACAATAAAGTAAGAAATTAATGAATGATCCTTTAAGACAATAAATCAACTGATAATATATAACGTTTCTTCATTCGATGAGCTAAATAGAAATATTTCACTCCGACATAACACGCTACAATGTGCCTTATTAGACGTAACTGGTAAAGCGATAGGTTGTCGCCAAGTAACTTCAAAAGTTACTTTTTCATTTTGCAAATTACTAAAATCCAGAATGAACATATGTAAATTTGATATAGAATTTAATGTAACATCGAAATTGAACGTATTATTTACAGCGTTTACACCCGCAGACAGCGTTGAAATTAGATTACTAAAAATAACAACAATATTATTAATTTTTACAGCAGGATGATACCAAATATCGGGTGCCATCCAATTTTCATTTATTACTTTTATTTTTTGCCATCTTTGTTGAACGATATCTAGCAACCAAATATCTGTTAAAGACTAATAATGATATTGGCATATCAATAAAATGCAGGATCGAATCAAATTCGACTTCAATTCTGTAAAAATTATAATTTTGTGCAATAATACTACCTCGAAATGTTCTCCAAGGCGCTTCTGTCCACCAATAATTGCTATTCTCTTCTCATCGACGACAATCTTGTCAAAAATAGCGATAGAAAGAATAATGATGTTTCAACAAGAATTAACAGCGTATTTAGTAAATATTTTTTCTAAGCTATCTTAATAAAACCTGTGAGTGGCCACCTCGTGGACATGGTGTTATACCATCTATTTTCAGTTGTTGCCAAGTAAAAGTTCTGAGATCTAATATCCATACATCATTAAATCTACAAAATAGCACATATTTACTAATTATTTCAAAATTAAGCAATGATCATACATTAGCAATATTAAGACGACATATCAAAGAAAGGGCTATCATAAATTAAGCTTAGTCAATTTTATACGCTGAATTAGAGGGGACTGTAATCCTCTAGTAAATCATAAGTAAATTCTATTTATACATTGTAAAGAATAAATAACTGTCGATAACAATGTTCACTATTTTTTTTTCAATACTCTTATTCCAACTTACGAGGTGCGCTTACTAATTCCACCAAAAATAATCATACTATGTCCAATTACTACTGCAGAATGACTCGCTCTCTCTTGAGGGATATTACAAGGAGTAATTTTTATTTCAGTCCAAGTCGAAGTGAGAGGGTCATATACGAATAAATCATTGTAGAATCTATAAAGTTCTGAAAAGTCATTATGGGCGAGGTGATGTGTGCTAGGGCAATAACCTCCAAACAATATCAATCTGTAATCATGTCTAACCATAGACGCACTTCCACGTGGTAAAGGCTTAGTACCTTTTGTAATTAACGTTGAATTAGACCAACAACGATTTCGTAAATCAAATCTGTGCAAATCATTGAAGGCAGTTTGATCACTCATTGATATGCCTCCAAAGATATACACACTGTCCTTGTAGTAACATGCTGAATCCTTGTACCGATTCCTTACAGTGTTGGTTAGCCTAACTAATTAATAAATCAAGATGTTTCATATTACACAGATTATCTTACGTAGCATCAACAGCAATAGTTAATTAGGCCTTATCTGATTAATTATATATATTATAATATAATTTACAGTATATCAATATCAAGCATAAAGTAGCATCACTACGATAACGAAACGATCATTATGATGTCATCCTTTAAGCGCTTTAATTCAAGTAATTATGATATCAAGGTAAGTTTAACAGCTAAACATAATTACGTATTATGGCTAAAGATAGAAGGATACAGCGGTATCATTGTAGTACTGTATAGTATAGTATTCCAAACATCATCGTCATACGTACAATTGTAAAAACTTACCTATATTGGATGGAGGACGCTGCCAGCTACGACGTTGGCTGTCGAGTGGTTTATCTACAAGAAAACAGAGTAAAAACAACGATGTCAGTTGGAAGAGTTGTCGATTCAGGTTGATCCTGATGTAAGTAACTGTGAATGCATCCACAGATGTAAACTAATAAGATCAACTACAGTAATAAGAGTGAAGTCGAAGTTTCACTACACAGTATACTGAATTTAAAGTTTAAGTTTATTGGTACTCGTATTGTGTAATATAATAGTAGCCCACTACTGTAGTAGGTAGTATTTTCATGTACTCTTCTCTCTCTCTCTCTATATATATACGGTACAGTCCCTTTGTCTACGATAGAAACTACCTTTGGCGACAGCGACAGTAGTTACTTTTGGATAAGCATTGACAATTTGTTGATAAAATCGACGCCAACGTTGACTACGGATTCCATTGACTAATCTTGACCATTGTACACAAACTTGCGCAGCTGACAGCATATCATCGTAAGGCGATAAGTACGAAAGAATACGTTCCAGTATTTCTTCAGGTAAGTTTTCCATCCTGCTAATAAGCAAGTAAAATTGTATACAGCAATAGTCAATAATGTGGCTTCTTCCTTGTAATCAAATCGTTGTCGAGGTAAGACGATCAAGTGGCATCAGCAATGAATCAACCTACAGTACTGCAGAGAGGACTGCTGAACAGCTATCATACAGTACAGTATATACTGTACAGTATAATATACTGTAGCTACAGTACAGTACTATTTAGTTGAGTGACTCTGGTCTACAGTACATATTGTACAGTACCGTACTGTACTGTAAGGCCCGAGTGGCCTGGCCTGTAAAAATAAGGGAAAATTAAAGGTAAAAATTAAAGAAGGGTATATCATTAATTTTCCCTAAAAATAATAATGTCTTTCTACTGAGACGAGAGAGAGAGAGCTGTTTCAGACAAGAGAACTTTATTACTCTGAGTTCGTCAGGTACAAGGTAGAGAGGGAGATAGATTGCTACACAGAGAAAGGATTCTGAACCCAATACGCTAACACACATGTATAATATACAGGCACATTGTGATCTATCAAGGCCATCTTGCGAAGCTGGTTCGTCTTCGTGCTTAAGACCAAAACGCCAGTGGATACTGTACGAGTCACTGTACAGTACAGTGTACATACGCGTACATGTACTGTACTGTACTATACTGTACAGTTGCAGCGAATACGCATAGTAAAATGGCCTGAAAAAAAGTAAGTCGACCAGCTCATCTCTAGCAGCTTGACTGATCATTCTACAAAATCTTTCATCTCTATGCAAGTTTCAGCCAGTAGCAGAGCTCTGGAAATGATGCCAAAAACTGCACAATATCCCAACAGCAGTTCTAGAGCAAATTAACTAAAAGAACAGTATTTATTTACAGTATCATTGTTTGCAGACAATCGAGCTCGGTCGAGCTGACGATATTCTTATTTTGCAACGCTGCACTCTGCGCAGCAGTCTTTAGAATGCAAAATCACTACGATACTTTGAATGTTGAGAGCTAGCGTGAGCAAAAACAACATTTTATTGTATTGATATTCGCAGGCCTGGCCTGGCCTGGCCTTGGCTTGGCTTGCAGTACAAAAGTGCTGATTGTAGCATTGTAGCGATACGGCTGTTGTGTGATTCTGTAAACTGTTATAACTATACAGTACAGTACTGTAATCAAAGTAATGCTATTTTCAAGCACGATTGCAAAGAGTTCTTATTTCTAGTCATAATGTACAGTACAGTACAGTACTGTGCAGTACAGCTGTGTAAGCTAAGATTGATCTCTGCAATTATATCAAAATCAAATGTAGTCAATCAAATTCAGTCAAACTATCAATCGATTGGATTAAATTAAGTTCACGTGATCATGACTTGCCTATTTTTCTTTCTACTTAGAACAAACAAAGCATTTCATGTTCTAGACGTGTTTTCATCCTGAGCTTATAAATAGAGACACTAAAACTACGCGCACAGCCACTAAGCAACACAACGTGAGCAAAGGAAACGTCCAAATAGCATCCAATAATGGCATCCAATCTTATATATTACTACGACGCTATCTCTCAGCCATGTCGCTCGGTGTTGATGTTTTTGAACGCCAATAAGATCTCTTATGAAGGAAGAGTACTGTCATTGTTCTCAGGTGCTTATAGAAAATCAGACGAATTAGCAGCCATTAATCCTCAACGTTACCTACCGGTGATTAAAGATTCTCAGGTGCAATTATTTGAAAGCGATGCTATCTTAAAATATGTCGCAGATCAGTATAAGGTATCTGATCATTGGTACCCAGCTGACTTAGCGAAACGAGCAAGGATTAACGAGTACATGTCGTGGCATCACTCTAATACTCGATCATCATGCATTGGTTTGTTTCGTTTGGCCTATCTTGGTCCTCGATTTTTTAACAAGAAAGTGGACGAAAAGGAACGTCAAGAAGCTGTCGATAAGCTAAATAAAACAGCCGATTTCATTGAAAGCTACTTTTTGAAAGATAGCGAGTATATCAATAGCAACAGTATCTCAATTGCCGATTTACTAGCCGTGTGTGAATTTAGTCAATTGATCATTGTTGACTATGATGTTGCCCAAGGCCGACCGAAAGTAGCAAAATGGGTGCAAAATATTAAATCTAATCTAGGCAGTATTTACGAAGATGCTCATGAAATTGTTTACCAATTCCAGAAGGAAGTTCAGGAAGCCAAAAAAGCATAAATGCTGAGGTTGCTATGTTTAGAGCACTTCAACCAATCGATAAAGATTGCCATTTTTACGTCCTGTCGCAACACTGCATAGATTATTTGTACTGTACTTGGTAATAGAAACAGGATAGAAATAATGAGATTTTTGCAGACCTCTAACGGGTATGCTATGAAGATTATACCGATGCTGTATGCGACTACAGTAATGCATTTTACCCGTAGATTGCAATAATTACAATCGAATTAATTCAACTAACTTTATATACTGTATTAGACTTCGCACAGGGTTAACTACTTATGCGTATCTATCGATAAAGCGACAAATGCTTGTTATTAATTGTAAAATGAAGGATGAATCGCGTTTCAATGTTGGTATAAACCAATCAGCCTAATTCTATCCTATTTACTGTTGATTGTTTCATGACTCTTCGAGATTTGCATTTGCTTGCCTTATGCTATTTCAAGATATTCCAAATCACGTCCCTCAGAAATAAACTAATCTGCACACTATCAACGTCGTATACCTTTGTTGTTTTAATACGGCAACCACAAGTTTAAACGCAACTGCGATAGCGGCTGCGCGAATTAATTCAATGTTCGCTTACAGTCACTGACTACTGTACTGTAGCGCAACTGCACTGTAACAACTTCTCATAAACTGATCAAGGTCTAAAGTCTACAGTGTACTGTACTGTAAAGTATCATGGACTGTACACACACTACTACCGGTAGGCGGTAGTCGCCTAGTCTAGTGTATCAGGTCTGACTGTACAGTACACTAGACGCTTGTGATGGACTACTTACGCGTAGATTTGTATGGTACAAGTAAATTACGGTCATCAATCCTTTAAATCCTTATTAAATTAAATTAATAAAAGTCCCATATTTTATTCATCAGAGTGCAAAGCCGATAAATCGTTTTAATAAGCCTGCTGAACCACTTGGAATCATAAATTATCGACTTGTTTATACTGTACTTGTATATTGTTGGCTTGAGTTCTGTGCTGTACAACAAAATCTGAATCATATGAGCTGGAAATCAGACGGTTTCAATGTTTTAATACAGAACATTGGCGTTGGAATTTTATACCTATAATATTGTCGACTAACTTACATCATATTACATTACAAGTATGGAAAGAAATCATCAGGGAATGGTTCGCCGTTTCATAACCAATTCCCAAACAGAGGTATTTGTTCTAGGCAAATTACTGGACGTAAATCGTACACCATACCTCGTTAATTTGATACACTATATTGTATGGTCAACCAAGGAAATGATGGAAGGTATGATTGTTGACGGACAATACCGCGTCGATATTACAGGGTTAAAACTGCAACTTGGCAAGGCCTATTTTAATATCGGTATCGGTACCCAATATTCGGCTCAGTGCAGTTTTATTTCTGCAACGGAAACTACTATAACTTCTCAAATTTGCGTCACTTCTGCAACAAGTGGTGATTTGATATGTAAAGCGAATGCTACAGGCTATGTTCATAACCAAAATAGAGCCAGGTCAATCCCAATGGAAGTAAAGTCTGCTCTAGAAGATGCTTCGCAGGTAACCTTGGAACTGAATTACAGTACTATACGTATATCATGACTACATACCTTATGCTCTTTTCGGGGAGACTAGTGCAAACTCCCGTCGCTTTGCTGACGGTTTACGATAATGTGCTCATTTAACAGATAGTATTACTATTTGATAGACCTGTTATACTGTACTTCACAGTGCATTGCATTCGTAAAACTGAATTAAAATTGAAATAAATTATATATTATCAGAATGTATTTGCCACTAAAATCAAGAATTCAATTTTTAGAAAAAAATCCCTAGTACAAGTTTGGCATCCAATCACAACTATGTATCTTATCGAACAGTTACCGTTACCAGGCCCAGTGAAATTGGTGAAGACGGTTGCTATGTTGAAGTTACAAACTATATTAATTATTGCATAGACGGTATTCAACAAGCAATTTCAGCAAATTCCGATTTTCTAGCTGTATTGAGACCAGAATGGTTAACTAAAATCAGAAGTGTACAAATCGAAATCAATTCGACACTAGTACGATGCCAAAAACTTACTATAGACATACAATTATATACTGGCGATGGAATAATTTGGTGTAAGGTGATTGACGACAGTCAAGATAAAACAGCGTCTACGATGATATTTCAAATTGATTTAGACCCAAGTAATACAGTCAGTACAAGTCGCAGATTAAAGCCAGAGCTGAAAATTTCCCCGCTAAATCCATTAGAGGTTCAAATTCTTTGTCCTCAATTGGGCTATTATAGAGACAGATTTCGCAACTGCGATCTTGGTAAAATGTTACGCATTATAGGTGAATTACGTATTGCTTCATGGCTCGAAGGCTTCATGGATTGGGACCAATTTTTCTGGCGTGCCAATTATGGTGCAGTTATAGCCTCTCACCGAATAAGAATAAAACCTAACGTTTATAATCTTGAAAAAAAATCGGATGTAGACGTATATTTAAAACTGTTAGCTATTGGAAAATCATCCTTTTCGATACGCCACCTAGTAACAGCAAGACATAAACCAAAAGAACATCTGATGGATATACTAACGGCACTGGTATTTACGCAGCATCTTAAACCAAGACCTCTACATGCAAATTTTGCCAACAAATACGCAAAATTAGTAGAAGGGCAGAAAATGCCGAATAAGGTACAGTAGGCAATAGAGTTAGCATTACATTAAGCGTAATAAATGAGCAATGATAAAATGTAAGGTAGGGTACTTTGTCATTAACTAATTATACGCATATTTAAATTACCAGCTTACGCTAATTTATGGCAGGTTCACGTATAGGTTAAAATTTATAATATTTCCCATTCTTAAAATTACAGATAATTCCTTTTGTGAAGAAATCGCATAATACCTTTAGCCATGTCATACGTCCGAGAGAATGCGAAATTGACACTTATAGCCACGTTACTAATGCTGTTTATGTCACGTATTGCTTAGATGCTGCCAGTCTAGCAATCAGAAATCGGTCGTCAGCATATCGGCTTTATCATTTAAATGACTTCAATCCTCAGAGTATTTACCAAATTGATATCGTTTATGTAAAGCAAGTAAGAAGAGCAGAAGAAGTGATTATTGAGACATGGCAAGATAATTCTTCTAATTTAAATTTCGATATTCGATATGCTAAGAATAATGAAACTGCTTGCCGTGCTTGCTTTTACCTTGCAAACTCATCGACACTGCAACCGAAACTATAAAATACGTGTAAAAATTACTAACATTTGCTACGGAATTATTAAAAAATTTTTCAATATGATTACAAATCATAGTATATGTATTAAGGAATTAGCGAAAATTTTCATTTGCAACTGTACGCGAAGAAAAGTGGGCTGATATAGAAGAATGTGGTGATACGTCCAGCTAAAGCAGTTTTATTGATGATGCGTACTGCTTCAATACTCTCTGATATTTTCATAACGTAACTAAGCAAGGCAAAAGTAAATAGAACATATTTTTAATATAAAACACGCTATCATAATGACTTTTTAATCCTGTAAACTGCTAATAATGCAATAAATTTCCTTAATTAAAAATTAACGGATACACAATGTTTACTCACATCTTAAAACGGAAATTTATTTTTTAATAGTAGTTGGGCCTCCCTCCTTCTAATCATGGCTATCACTTATCATTATCTGATCAGTGTCCAAAATAGGGTCAGATTAAAGTAAAATTCTACGTATAATAAAATCCTGGTATTGGATATTTCGTTAGAGAACAGATAAATATGTATGAGAATTAACTTAAGCAGGATAGTAAAGTAGAGAGCAGAGAACTTTGCCTTCTTTTATAGTTGAGAGGACATGCTGTAAATGAGGATACAATAAATAAGGGAAGATAAGACAATATAGACAATATCAGCAACGAAACTGCTACTAACCATGAAATATATCTGATTTTAACGCAGTCCTAGTCTGTAGTGCAAGTACACTACCTACTATATGCCCTATCCAACTGCAAATTTACGTGGGGATATTCAAGAGACAAAAGTACAGTATTATAATCTACCGATATGCGATATGCACCATCCATGCTAATCTTCATATTTAGGATATTATACAGTATGTTCAGTGGTAAGCTGCAATTTATACTGCATCATGTTATCTAGTAAACATTTGCAGATCATACCGTTAAAACTAAGATTCTATTATGTAATTATAATGCAAATTAATTAACAAAACAGCCTAGTATCAATTACAGTATAACACACGTTAAAACTAAGGTTCCAGTATCAATCAACAAAACAGTTTAGTATCAGTACCAATGATATATCGTAATTAACACGAAACAGTGTTGACATACGAAAACACTACAAAGCAAGGCCAGTAGACAATATACGGTATATATGCGCATAGTAAAAAAAAATAACACCACCTAGAATGAACAGACTAACAACAGCGACAACTCAGTTAAAAATTTCACTCTATTCCCTGTCTCAATTAATATTTGCATTCATCCTCCAGACGGGAACACTTTAGTTGAGTAGTCCCTACTAACAGGAATGGCCATTTCTAATAGCCGATGCCTGTGATATAAATCCCATCCGAATGTCTACAAGACCAAAATAATTACCATAACCTGGGAACAGTTTGATTGTCATGCTGCCCCTTGCACTTTTGTTGTCTTGAACTCTTCATGATATGTAATAATGTTCCATGTCTATTTACGAGTACTGACTATATCGCATATTGTCTTGTTCCTATTGTAATCGATAATATTCGATATGTTCCGATAACACATTATAATCAATCAATACCTGTAGAATATTCCCATCGGCTATCCTTACCATCAATAGACTGCTATTGTTCTAGTGATATTATAATAACCCTATTTGCAATGATAGCCAAGAGTCGAGACATGATCGACAGCATGGTGTAAGCTAAAACAAATATCGGGTGCTGTGGCTGCCGGCATGATACGTCTCTTTAGTAGTCCCTGCTACCTGCTACCGGTATCCGTTTTCATACGTTGCAGCCTTATCACTAACCCCCGCCCAATTTTCTTATAGAGGTCAACTCAGGGTCAGGGGTAAGTATGTATTATACTGTAGATCATCAAGAGTTTCTACAAGTCCTCTACGTTCAAAACGATTTCATTTATAGTACAGTATAGTAGTGAGTAGATGATTTTATATGCAAGTTTAGAACAGATGATCAATTAAAGCAACTAGTAGCGGATAATATAGGTAACGATCTAGTAAGAGCATGAATTCGTGTTCCATAATTCGGAAAGGATTTCCAAGCTGCAAATCTGTTCATCGTTCACTCGTTCGTTGGTCGTCTATGCGTAGCTTGAGCTCATGGACAAAATTGAAGATTAGCAATAATAACTACGTTAGGTTATTAACACCAATCGATCGCGACTCGCGGCTCCATCCTAATTTTAGGACGTTGCACTGGCGCTATGTAAGTCAGGAAGATAAGTCGATGGACCATTAGTGTGCTAAAATACGCTCGTACGCCTGAGCCTAATTAGATTAGATTACTATAGATTTTATCTGGTCAACATTTCGTCACTTTTCTGTTTTTCGTGCACACAGAATACTACAGAAGACGTATTCATGTTTGTTTGCAGGATAGTTTTAAAATATTACACGTATCATTTATAGCACTAAAACATTATTGTCTAAAAATAAAAGGTTTCATTAGAATAATGATCGTGAAGATATTCAACTTAGATTGTAATCATCTTTGAAGGATCATATCGTTGCAATCAAATCTCACCAATCTCTTTGAATTATTTTATGCTATTACATGCTCATCAACGAACTTACCTGCTGAATACTCATAAACTCTATCCTTGTCAATCCACCCATGCCATCTACTTGTGGTATCTTTCCTTCTCTCTTATCAAATGGTTTTGCTCTATTTTGACTCAAATAATGACAGTTAAGCAACACTGCTATCGAGAAATCGGTCGTACTAGGACGCCTACAAGATGAATTCTATCGTATCAATATTGAAAATATTATCCAAATAATTTGCAATCATGTAGTACCCTCTGATCCTAATCAACAACTTAAGCTATTCTCTCAGCCTATTTCTTATTCTGCTAACATCAATCCTCAATATTATCAATATGGTTTGGGCACAGTAGGCCATCTCAAAGTCGAGCAATCACAAGAATCGCGATTCCGTTATCAAATTCGTGAAAGTAAAACCAATGAATTAGTGATTGATGGTCAAATAACGACAGCAAATGAAGATTTAAAATTGGTAATTTTAGGCCACTCTACATTATTCATAACAATTAAGATAATTATGTAATTATACTAGTTGATGAGTCTATTTCTACTAAGTATTCTATAGCAGTTACCAAATAATTAATACGCTTACTGTATAAGAAATTTCAGTACCTACTATTTTTGAATTAGGACTACAAGAAATTACGCAACTCATCTCAACTGCAGATATAATAAATAAATGCCTAATCAGTCTACTCGCGATTTGAATTATTTTTAGCAAATGTAAAACTCGGTTATTTCGTACTAGTTTCACTATTTCACTATACGCGTATAATCTCTAATCAGTTTCCTCGTGATCTCAATTATCTTTAGCAAATATAAAAACTCGGTTGTTTTCGTATCGATTTCACTATTTCATGATATAATCTTACTAATAACTCTATCTTATATCTTATTTACTGTATCAAGCAAAATCCGCACACATTCTATACCTATCCAATCACCGTTCGGCCAAGCGATATATCTATTACAAAACAAGTACACATTACACAATATCTATGCTTCGCTATGAGTGCTATTAAGCATGCCATTGCATCCAAATTTAACGATGGCTATATGGAATTCATGGATAAGACATGGTATAGTAAGGCTATTCACTTTAAACTGGATTATCATTCACCTGCTTATGTGAATGAGAATCTAACCGTTAAATCATGGTCGGATGCTTCGAATAATCGAATTAATTGTCAGATAATGCGAGATAACGATTGTTTAAGTACATTTTCAATAAGCTTTAATCCTGATCTAAAATACACTCCAGGCATATTGCCGTTATCATTAGATGTAATCCATAAGGACATATTTGGCATCATTTTTAACGGAGAAAATTTTTTATCCATTCGTAATCGATTTAATCAACCTGATATCAGCAAGTTTACAAATGCTGCGGCTGAAGCTTTTACTACTTCATTGATATATGGTGTATGGAATGTTTCTAAATTTTTTTCTCGCTCTAAAGGCGCTATGCTATTAATCACAAGTAAATTTGATATAGATCCCATGTTTTACACTATGCAACCTGATGCACCTACAAAGCTAAAATTAGGGTTAGAATCCATGGGCAATAAGTCATTCATGTCTGCCTATAGAATTATCGATTATCAAACTAAGACAGTTATCAATAAGTGCGAGAACATCTCTGTTTTCGTGAAAGATGGTAAACCCGAAGCATTACCTGAACAATTTAAAGAAGAACTGTTACAAAAGGTACCTGTCAAGGCATTAACTGAAAAGGTAATCATTTTACTAATGCATTATTTTAAAGACAATCTTTATGTACTGTATTGTTATTATTAATCAAATAGCCATTCCTCAACTATGGAACTTAAAACATAAAATAAAATTACCCAATTCTAATACTAAATAATTAACTATAAATCGTATAATAATCAATTTTTATTTATTAATTTTTATTGTCAAGCCTCAACCTCTATTTGAAAGTATACCTCAAAATCATTTTACGTATCACACAAAAGTAAGAGCTAGTGATCTTGATTATAATAATCATGTCGGCTATGGAGGTGTAGTTGGCTTTTGTCTGGACGCAGCCAGCAATGCAGCTTCATCGAAAAGCTCCGCTTATCGATTTGATTTTGGTAATGACTTTAATCCAAGCTGCATTCATCAAAAATTTCTGCTCCTTCGTGGCCAATTACTTTTTGATGACGAAATCACAGTTGATACATGGCAAGGATATGAAAACAATTCTCTCTATTTTAATGTCAGAAAAGAAAATAAGGCAGTTTGCCAGCTCGAATTTATTATAGATGTCCAATCAATACAAAAATGTAATTAGGTTTAGGTTTAGCATTAATATCGCATACAACCTGGTTCAAATCGACATCAACACGTGTGTTATGTATTCAGTGAGCTATTAGACCAAATTTTTCAATTTACTGTCTTTTTTATTTAATAGTTAACTATCAATCCGTTTACTTAAACATACTACGGAAATCCAACGTTATACAACAATCTATACTGTAATAAAAATATTTCATGAAAAGTTATATAAAAGAATGTAAAGAAAAATTAATGCTTCTTCATGACACCTAATACTTCAGTAACATAAGTCAATCCTCAAACCTAACTGAATGATGACTATATTAAAAATATTCTCAATTTTCTAATCTAATAAATACTGGAGTACTGACTGAATGGTAGTTGCAATCATGATGAATAATTCTTTACACATTGCAAGTTTACAAGATTTCCACTAACAATACTGTAATGGTACTGTAACTATAGAGAATAGATAATTAATAGATGTTAGGATTTTGTAATATTTGTCGATACTAAAGCTGCTTTAGTTAGTATATCACTGAAGTTCCGGTTGTTACTATCGGTGTAGCTTGATGCTAATCACCCAACTTAATATTATAGGAGTTACGCAGCTATCGGTTTGCTAATTTAAGGTATTGAAACCGTACTTAATATTCTGTACACGTATATAAGCACGTTAGCAAATTGGAGAAGAACCAAGTAGCAGAGATAGAATACGCGTAAGAATGTTTTAGCTGTAATTATACGAGATATCCCACAGTAGTTCGTTACTATCAATAAATAAAGAAGCTTAATCGTCAGTGTATCTTTAGAACTTTGGTCAGAGTACCTCGAGCAATCAGCAAATGCCATACAGTAGTTAGATCTCCAGATCTAGGTAATTACTGGTCCACGCATGCTTTCTGTATATTAAATTGTAGTAATAGATAATTAGGAAAAATCAAATTCTATTTAAACTTACAGCATCACACGACTTTTCGTATCAATTTTTTATTTTATACACGAATAAAGCGATACCTATCAAGTTATTTGCCTTACTTAATGTACAGTATCTCTTTACAACAAGATAGAATACAATAGGCATTAATTAAGGTATCGTTTTAAGCAAGTACATGTAGTCCTTACTAAGTTATAAAAATTTGATACGTTCAATCATTCAAAGACTTTTTGCTGTTTACTGAGTATAGATCGATCAATTGCTGCTATTCCACTTTATTATTTAATATATCTTTGTTCTGCTATTTTATACAAGCGTTATGAAGTGATGACAAAAAAAATTAGCGGCTACGAAATCGACTAAAGAACATTAATAGTATTAACAAACAAAAACTCTTACTCAACCAGAGTATGGTAATACAGTATGCATCTTGATTGCTCTATTGAAAACGAGTACTTAAAATACGAATATCATTCAACGCAATTTCCTCTGCTCGTATCCAATTCTTAACCCTTAAACCTTGAAATTACCATATATCATATCTCATATACTCACATTTTTGTTATCACCAGCTATATTAAAATGAGCACTTAGAACTTAAAGTGCGAGTAGTTTTTTAGGCAATTTCCTCCACCCATATCCAATTCTGAACTCTTAAATCTTGAAATTACTGTTTGTCATTCCTTACAATCTTTTACTTATGCTATTAGTATTATTAGAAAAAACAAGTAACTGACTTTAACTGATTTAAATCCCTACCTGACTATTTAGAATGAACTTTAGCCAAATGTAGTCCGCTATTTATGGCAGCTTCTAAAATTGCCACTATAATTTAGATGTCAAACATAAGATAGAAATAAAATAACCCTGTAGTATGCATAACTAATGCTGTCCTATCACAATAAATTTAACTATATGCGAATTTACAGGCATATACGACAAGAAAGATCAGACATCTGCTCCTAAGTTACCTGCTACTCCTTTATTGTAAGGATAATGGCATACAATCACATGTTCTATTCTATGTTATTCTCTATTCTACAGTACTATAACTCTAGCTGCTGGGCTATAACTACTTTTATACATAAAATATCACGGCTTTTTCTATAGTATTTTCTGTGGACCAGGAGATTCTGTAGAAGAAACATCATCTATACATGAAGTACACCTTTACAATACTGTTAAATCTGTTTATTAAGGATACTGTACTTACGTATAGAACAGGCAAAAGAGTATATTTGCCAACAGTATGAATTCATCGTTAATAATCCGAAACAGGTTTCCTAATTGTAAATCTTTTCGATACTGGTTGCATAAACGAAATCTCAGCCGGTTTATAAGACTAAAGATCAGAAACGACGATCATAATTTTAAATCGTTATCACCACTTCACCGTCCTTCTATCTTTTTCCTTTATTGCAAGCGAAATGTAAGTTCGGAAAAATGGGTAAGAGTAGATTAGAAAAGATAAATAGGAGCATTTCTCCCTGCATCACTTTGTAATTTATCTCTGTAAGTCCTTCATAAACTAGTAACAAGCATTATTGATTAGGAAACTTACTATATACGTATCAGAAAATAGACAACATACGAACAGAATATACTTTATTGAACATATTCGACATTAGACATCACTCTTCCTCCATCATTAACTTAACAATATCCTTCCTATATACTCGTTTATAGTGTTTACTTGCTTTTTCTTTCGTTCATTTTTATAACCTATTTGAAGTGAAAGCACCTGTTTGAACAAACTTCCTATAACCAACTATTGTCGACTATGTTCTTTGTTACTCTATCTTTCTGCCTCCGAAATCCGAATGCTTGTACCTGATATCGGCGTCAATGCAATGACAACAGCTAAT